ATCACTATCCCAATCATCATAATCATGATCATCGTCGTCCTCGTCCTCGTCGTCGTCATCGTCATAGTCATCGTCACCGTGGTCATCGTCGCAATCGTCATCATCGTCATCATCATCACCATCATCGTCATAATCATCATTATCATCATCACCATCATCGTAATCATCATAATCATCGTCGTCCTCCCCTTCGTCTTCGTCCTCCTCGTCCTCGTCCTCGTCATCGTCGTCATCTTCTCCATCGTCATTATCATCATCATCATCATCATCATCGTCATCAGCATCATCATCATCATCATCATCATCATCGTCGTCATCATTATCCTCATCATCATCATGATCATCATCATCATCATCATTATCATCATCATCATCGTCGTCGTCGTCGTCGTCGCCGCCGTCGTCGTCGTCGTCGTCGTCGTCGTCGTCGTCGTCCTCGTCGTCGTCATTCTCATCGACCCTCCCGGGGACGCTCCAGAAGGTGAGCGGCACGCACGCCATCGGCAGCACGGCGTGCGCCAGCACGAGCAGCAGGGGCAGCCGCCGGAAGTCGCAGGGCCCGTCCCTGCTGGCCACCAGGCCGAGCGCGTCGCAGAGCCGCACCCCGAGGATGGCCAGGGGCTGCCCAGAGGTCTCGCTCCTCCTCCTCCCCCCTCCTCCTCCTCCTCCTTCTCCTCCTCCTCCTTCCTCCTCCTCCTCCTCCTCCTCCTCCTCCCTCCTCCTCCTCCTCCCCTCCCTCCTCCTCCCCTCCTCCTCCTCCTCCTCCTCCTCCTTAGTCAAGCCTCCTCCGAAGCCACAGAGGTCTTCTCGGAAAGCCCGCGGGCTTCTCAGTCGGCCAGGGGTGCTTCTCTGGCCATCGCTCGGACGTCCATTCCCCGTGCATTTTTCGATTTCGTGCGTGCGTTTTTCCGCTAAACGATCAAAGATGCTCCTCGAGGGTCCTCGCCGAGAAAAAATGCACACGTCCGAGCGATGCCAAGCGCTCCCCTGCGGGAGGCCTTCGGAAGCCATCGGGTGCCTTCGAAAGATCTTCGGATGACTTCAGGCAGCCTCCGGAGAGCTGTCCCATCGCGCCAGCTATCCGACGTCGCATCCGCGCCGATCCGCGTCAAATTCGCGTCGAATCTACGCCGAATCCGCGCCGAGCCCGAGTCGAACCCGCGTCGAACCCATGTCGGGCACCGGAAAAAAAAAGTGCAATCTGCAGGACAGACCCCCCTGAAGAGTGCACCCCAGACCTCCGGAGTCGTGATATGTTCAACACGTTGACCCCCGGAGGTTCGGACCCCTTCCCCCTGACGGGCCTCTCGTCCTGGAAGCCGAGAGGCGGCCAAAGACCGCCTGCCACGATCTCGGCACGACGCGGGGAGGGCTGGGAAGCCGGGGACGCCTCGGGCAGCACCCCGGGATGGAGCTCACGGCCTGCCCGAAGTTCTGGAAGCCGGCCAGGAGGGCCCGGGGGGCGCCGCGGGGAGGCCCGCAGCCCCGCTGCAGCCTCCCCCCATACACGGGGCCCGCCCCATCCCCGCCCCGCTGGTCCAGGGAGGGGGAGGGAGGGAGGAAGGGGCGGGAGGGAAGGAGGGATGGAGGGGGTGGAGGCGGGGGGGGGATGGAGGCGGGGGGGACGGAGGCGTGGGGACGGAGGAAGGAGGGGAGGGAGGGAGGGAGAAGGAGAAGGAGAAGGAGAAGGAGGTAGGGAGGGAGGGGGAGGGAGGTAGGGAGGGGGAGGCGCAGGAGAACGGACGAGGAGGACGAGGGGGAGGACGGGGAGAGCGATGACGAGATGGGGGGAGGGGAGCACGGCGATCAGAAGTGGAGAGAGCGAGGACGAGGACGACGACGAACGACCACGACCACGACCACGACCACGACCACGACCACGACCACGACCACGACCACCATCACCACCACGACCACGACCACGACCGCGACGACGACCACGACCACGACCACGACCACGACCACGACCACGACCACGACCACGACGAATGCAACGACGACGATGACGATCACGACCACGCCGAAGACGACGAAGGATGAAGAGGAGGAGGACGACGACGACGGCCTCCAAAACCGTGCGGTGACAGCAAAAGGAGGAGGAGGCGGAGGGGGGATGCAGCAGGAGGGGGAAGGGGGGGAACGGGACTTTCGATGCCCACAAGTCCCTACTGAGATCGGCCCCAAAGCGTCGTGGCGCACCAACCGCATATCATGGCAAGAGTTACTGGTGACAGTATTAGCCTCTGGAGAACGCCTTTGCCCATTGGTAGTGGTTCCTGTTGCAAGTATACGAAATGTGATGCTGACTTGGCTTCACTGCGCAGATTTAAGCGTATCTGCAGATTTGCTGGGCTCTCTGATTTGGCATTGCCTCGTCAAGAGGAAGGTTCCAGGCCGCATGCAGAAGGAGCGAAGCAGACAGTTGCACAGTTTGATGCAGGGGTTCTACGATAAACAGCCTCCGAACGGCGCGCCGAAGAGGATTCCTCACTTGAGCATTGGTGCAGACAGAGGCAGGAATAAAAGCCCACACCCAGGCGTAGCGCGCATGGCTCGGCATTTGATTCCGTGGGATGCGGATCAGAAGCCGGGCAAGGGCTGCTAAATCCGTGGCTGCTAAAATCGACCTCCGGGAAGTTGTCTTCGTCCTTCCGGGAAGAAGCCCGTTGACTGTTTCGCGTGCCGCGCCTCATTCCGGGAAGTTGTTTTTTCCTTCCTGGAGGGCCGTTTTAGCAACCACGATTTCAGCAGCCCTCGCCCAGCTCTCGAATGGAACTTGCAGAACCGATAGCTCTGCGGCAGCACAGGCCTCGTCGAGCGTTCGCTGTAGTTTACACGTGCAGAGTCTGTCCCGGCGTTGCGCTGTGCTGGCAGGCAAGTTCCCTCTTACGAATGACGCGCCGCTGCAGCATGCTTGACGTTTTGCTCAACGTGTCACTGCCCTGACCAGAGCAGATTTGTTTGTTGGCCCTGGTCAGGTCAATGCCCTGACCAGGGCAAATAATTGCAGATTCCGTGTTCGACTCAGACTTCATGCATTTCTGGAGCTACGCTCATCTGGACGACACCCATCCCAAACCTAGAGCTACAGCGATGAAGACTCTCAGGGGTCCGTTGCGACGTTTGGAAAGCACCGGGGAGGGGCGCCGAACACATCCGGGCTTTCCAGAGCGCGCATGACGAAGTTCATGGGACAACTTGTTGTTCGTCTCTCGCGCTTGGGATTAACAATTGGTACACTACAATTGAAGGGGCCCTGGGACACACAAATAAACACACACAAATAACAGGATTCCCCATATGTTCCCACATTTTCTAGGTTTTTGTCTCCCCCCCCAATTCCCATACTTTCCCATGTTTTCCTGGGAGTCGACGATTAATTGTGTCTGTGTTTTTTCCCCTCCTGAACCATGCTAGGACCGACGCCCCTCACTTAGGGGTAGACATTTTCCACGTCTGAGCTTCGATACAAAATCTGCTCCATACAGACTTGTGTGCGGTTCTACTCTACTGGTGCTCCAGATATATTGGCGCAGCGGATGCTCTCGGCAAAAACCTGGACCGGGACCGGACCCAAGCTCCTCCGGACTACTACGGGAACCCCAGGGTCCCGGGACCAGGACCGTACCCGGACTCCTCGGGGTGCTTAGGGATCAGGGACAGGATGCCTCGGGGACCCGGACAGGCACTGGGGCTGGACCCAGTCCTCGCGACTCGCGATGCCCAAGGATTCCTCCGGGATCGGAGCGGGACCAGGACACGAGGATTTCAAGGGCCCCCGACGGATTCCTTAAAAGGATTCCCAAGTTTCCGGAAAGATTCCTCAAGGACAGAGATCCAAACCGTCCGACCCTGATTCCTCGGAAGTCGTGAAGATTCCTCGAGGGCCTAGACTGGGAAGGGGACCGGGCCCGGACGCGTCGGGACCCTGAAGGATAAAGATTCCTCAGGGACCTGGACCGGGGCCGGGAGTGGACCCAGACCCCTCGGGGTTCCCCAGGGTGCCTCAAGAGCCTGGACCCGGACCAGAGGCAGAGTCCTCCGGATTGCTCCAGATTGCTGCGGGATCCCGACCGAAATCGCCAGGATCTGGACTCCTCCTCCTCCTCCTGCTCCTCCTCCTCCTCCTCCTCCACACTCCTCACACTTTTCGCACTCCTCTTTCCCCTCTTCCTCCTCCTCCTCCTCCTCCTCCTCCTCGCCCTCCTCACCCTCCTCCTCACCCTCCTCCTCACTCTCCTCACCCTCCTCCTCACCCTCCTCACCCGTCTCACCCTCCTGCTCACCCTCCTCACTATCATTCTCGCCCTCCTCCTCACCCTCCTCCCCTTCACCCTACTCACCCTCATTACCCTCCTCGTCCTCCTCACTCTCCTCCACCTCACACGTTTCCTCACCCTCCTTACCCGTCTCCTCACTCTCTTCACCCTCTTCCCTACCTCCTGCACCCCCCTCACCATCCTCACCCTACTCCTCACCCTCCTTACCCACCTCACCGTCCTCCTCACCCTCCTCCTTTTCCTCCTCCTCCTCCTCCTCCTCCTCCTCCTCCTCCTCACCGTCCTCACCCTCCTCACCCACCTCACCCTCCCCCCTTACGCCCCTCGCCCTCCTCACCCTCCTCCTCACCCTCTTACTCACCCTCCTCACCCTCGTTACCCTCGTTACCCTTCTCGCCCTCCTGCTCCTCACCCTCCTCACAATCCTACGCACCACCCTTACCCTCCTGACACTATTCCTCCTGACTTCCTCACCCTCCTCCTCACCCTCCTCCTCACCCTCCTCCTCGCCCTCCTCACCAGCCTTACCCTCCTCACCCTCCTCCTCACCCTCCTCACCCTCGTCACCCTCCTTCTGCTCCTCCTCCTCATCCTCCTCCTCACTCTCCTCACGCTCCTCCTCACCATCCTCACCCTCCTCACCCTCCTCACCACCCTCCTTACCCTCATCCTCATCCTGCTCACCTTCCGCACAATTTTCCTCAGCCTCCTGACCACCCTCCTGAACAGCCCCCTCACATCCATGTGGCAATAGTGTAGCAAGTTCATAGCAACTGCATTGCATGGCAAATAGCATTGCCAGTGTATTGCAATCGCATAGCAACAACATGGCAACACCGCGGCAATATCATCGCAACTGCATAGCAACTGCATTGCAGTAGTACGGCAACAACATGGCAATAGCATTGCAATACCACGGCAATAGCTCGGTCATTGCATGGAAAATGTGGCAACACGAATAGCAGTATCATGGCACTAGACGGCTATAGCGTGGCAATAGCGTGGCAATATCACGGCTATCGCATGGCAGTCGTGTTGCATTAGGGGGCGAAGCAGCGGCGAAAGATAAAAACACGGGATACGTCAGACTATCTAGAAGGTAGTCGGGTAATACATCGCAACGTACAATCAGATCGTACGGGGTACGACTAGTCCTACACATACCCACCACCCCTTTTGATCGATAGCCTCGAAGATGTCCCGAAGAGGCCCTCCAGTGCCCCCAAGAAACCTCCACGAGGGCTCCAAGAGGGCCCTCAAGGGGGCCTTGCGATCCCATCCCCAAGAGGAGCCCAGGATCCCCCAAACAATCCCAAGAGGGCTCCAAGAAGCGATTTTGAGGGCTCCGTCCTCGTCTTCGTTGTCCTCCTAGTCCTCGTCCTCGTCCTTGCCCACATCGTCTTCTGTTTCCTTTCCCTCATCTTCCTCGTCATCGTGGTCGTCGTCGTCGTTGTCTTCCTCCTCTTGCTTCCCTCGCCCTTCTCCTCCCCCTTCTCCTCGTGCTTCCCTCGCCCTCCTCCTCGTGTTTCCCTCGCCCTCCTCCTCGTGCTTCCCTCGCCCTTCTCCTCGTGCTTCCCTCTTCCTCCTCCTCCCCCTTCTCCTCGTGTTTCCCCCGCCCTTCGCGGGCCCCAGGGGTGGCCCGAAGAGGCCCTCCAAGGCCACCCCCTTGCTCTCAAGGATTTCTCGGCTCGCCCTGCTGCCCGCTGCGTTTCCCTACATGTGTGTCTTCATCCCTCTTCCTGTCAACTCTCATGGGCAGGCTTTGCAAATGGGCTGATACTTTTTGTCAGCGGCCGCAGGCGAGCGCGCCAGCGGCGGGTCCAGTCAAAACGGGGCACGCAACGACGAATACATGGGCTGATACTTTGTTTTTACAGCCGCAGGCGGAAGCGCCAGCGGCGGGAGGTCGCGAACGGGCCGCGGACGCGACTAAATTCACGAACGCGCGCGGGGCCGCGGATCGGGCGGCTCACGACAGCGTCCAGGGCGGCAAGGCCGAAGCAATCCAGGAGCCAGAGGCAGCCCCTGAACGGGCATGCAGCGGTCCGACGGGCCTGAGGTAGCACCGTAGAGACCAAACGCAGCCAAAATGGCGCGGACGTTCCCGACGTCCAGGTGCGAACGAAGGAAGGTTCCCGAGGACGTCGACCCAAGCCGAACAGGAAGTACAGGCGGTGGAAGAAGGTCCAGCGGGACACCGACGGCGACAACGAGCCGCGACGCCAGCGGCATCAAAGTGTGAACGAGTTGCCGAGAAAACTCCACACCACGATGCATCAGCCCAGACCCAGCGGGTAGAGGGCGCGTGATGCACGCCATACAGTCGAACGCGGCGTGTGCACATCACATGGTCACAGTGCTGTCCAGGACAAGTTGGGAGCGGACGCGAAACGAGTGCCCATCAAGTCCCTCAGAACCACTGATCCAGGGTCACGACGGAAAGCCGTCCAGCATTGAGAGAACCCGAGGACACCGATCCAGGGAGCCTGACGGGTACAACAGGCTGGCTGAAACCGAAAGTCAAGCGGGAAAGCTGACGGCGACCGAGCCGCGACGCGAGAAAGCGCAACCAGATTGGAATGATGACGAGAGTGCCTTCCACAACTGAGCTGCGCCAGCCCCAGATCCGACGAATGGAAGGGCCTCGAAGTGCACGTTATACGGCAGACACCAAGGAGTGTGCACATCTAAGTCTCAGCGTTCCCAACCGAGTCGTCAGAGCTTGAGGGACGAGAACGCCTAGTACCCAAGACGCGTCCCACAAAGCCACTGGATCCATGATGACGGCGGAAGGCCGTGCTGCTTGTTAAAAAGGGGTCCAGGGTGACGACGGAAGGCCGACGGGCTGATACGCGAAGCGTGAGGAATTCTGAAGTTGGCGTATGTTCTACTCTCTTCGGCCATGCTGTGTTCTGCTATGATATGCTATGGCATGCCGTCATATAATACCACCAACTATGTCGCGCTCTTCCATGGTGTGCGTAGCTATGCTTTGTTTTTGCGTGTGATGGCTCTGTAATATGTGATGACATGGTATGCCACGTCAGGGTATGACGTGTTACGGTATGATATGCTCTGATATGGTATGATACGCTGAATGTTGTTATGACATGGTATGCATGACCTGGTCTGTCATATCATGATTTGTTTTGCTGTGTTATGCAATGAAATATGACGCTGTGCTACACTGAACTATGTTATGCTATCGTACGCGCTATTAGTATTATGATATGTTATGGAATGCTATTTTATGTTGTGGTTTGCTCTATGCTATTAGTTATGCCCTGTCATGCGCACAGAGGCGGGGGTCTTGGGGATTGTCGGTGGACCTGGAGTTCCAGCGGCCGCGGCATGCAGAGTGGGCGGGTCCGATGGGAAGGGGCGGGGGTCTCGGGGACTCTCGGTGGACGTGGGAATCTGGCGGCCGCGGTTTGCAGGGCGGGCGGGTCGGGAGGCTTGTCCTTACAATCTAACGACTCCTACCTGTCGGGTGGGGCATAGCATGAAAACTACATCTTGCGAACCGTGCAATCTCCATTATAAGGTCGACACGCGTCAACTGCGCATCGATCACGGCTGGCCCGGTGTAAGAAGCGCGCCAATATAGAGCTTCGCAGATGCGATTTCCATTGCCCAACAAATTGCAGCAAATGTTTTCAACGTTTTGATATATCTATATATATATATATATATTGTGATGCGCAGTAGCACAGCCTTGATATGCCGAGTTGCCTTTTTTTTTAAGCGGGTATTATTTGGAGGTTCACATGCACGCTGACAATAATTCTGACAGCATCGATTTTTTAGTATATGTAGGCCTGACTTTTTCGAGGAGCCCACTCAGCGCCCGCCACCCCCTGCAACCCCAGCTCTACCAGTGGAGGAGGAGGAAGGACATGGAGGAAGGAAGAGGGAGAAACAGCAGCAGCAGGCTCGGGCTTCCCGCCCCCCGGCGATGGCGTACACGGTCGCCTCCGCTCCCCGCGGGCAGAGGCGCGACGTGAGCACGGCGCCAGGCATCAGGGCCATCTGCACCGCGACGCTCTGGCAAGCCGCGTCACCGAACAGGTACGCCGCCTCGTCGGAGAGGCCTGCCACGAGCCCCGAAACCGGCTGCGGCGGCGACGACGGCGACGGCGGCGGCGACGGCGACGGCGACGGCGACGACGACGACAACGACGACTGCGACGACGACAGCGGCGACGAAACCGACAGCAACGGCGACGGCGACGGCGACGACGACCGCGACAACGACAACGACGACGACGACGACGAAAGCCGAAGACGATAACGACGACGACGACGGCGACGACGACGACGACGGCGACGACGGCGACGGCGGCAACGACGGCGACGGCCACGACGACGACGACGACGAAAGCCGAAGACGATGACGACGGCGACAACGACGACGACGACGGCGACGACGGCGGCGGCGGCGACGGCGGCGACGGCGACGGCGACGGCGACGACAACGACGACGAAAAAAACGGCGACGGCGGCGACGACGGCGGCGACGGCGACGGCGACGGCGACGACGACCGCGACGATGACCGCGACGACGACGACGACGACGACGACGGCGGCGGCAACGGCGACGACATCGACGGCGGCGACGACGGCGACGGCGGCGGCGACGGCGACGGCGACGGCGACGACGACGACAACGACGACTGCGACGACGACAGCGGCGACCAAACCGACAGCGACGGCGACAGCGACGGCGACGACGACCGCGACAACGACAACGACGACGACGAAAGCCGAAGACGATAACGACGACGACGACGACGACGACAGCGACGACGACGACGACGGCAACGACGGCGACGGCGACAAGGACGGCGACGGTCACGACGACGACGACGAAAGCCGAAGACGATGACGACGGCGACAACGACGACGACGACGGCGACGATGGCGGCGGCGGCGACGGCGGCGACGGCGATGGCGGCGGCGACGGCGACGACAACGACGACGAAAAAAACGGCGACGGCGTCCACGACGACGGCGACGGCGACGGCGACGGCGACGACGACCGCGACGATGACCGCGACGACGACGACGACGACGACGACGACGGCGGCGGCGACGGCGACGACATCAACGGCTGCAGCGACGGCGACGACAACGGCGACGACGGCGACGGTGGCGGCGACGGCGACGTTAACGGCGGCGACGACGACGGTGACGGCGACAACGACCGCGACGACGACGACGACGGCCGCGACGACGACGACGACGACAACGACCGCGACGACGACGACGGTGACAACAACGACGACGACGACGACGACGACGGCGGCGGCGGCGGCGGCGGCGACAGCGGTGACGACGACGACGAGGAAAGTCGAAGATGATGACGACGACGACGACATTGACGACGACGGCGACGACGACGACAACGACGACGGCGACGACGACGACGACGGCGACGACGCGACGACGCAAACGACGACGGCGGCGGCGACGACGCGGGCGGCGACGGCGACGACGACGACGACGGCGACGACGACCGCCACGACGACGACGGCGACGACGACGGCGACGGCGACGACGACGACGGCAACGGCAACGACGACGGCGGCGACGACAACGACTGCGAGTGCGACGGCGACGGCGACGACGACGGCCGCGACGACGACGATAACGAAAACGAAGACGACGACGGCGACGACGACGACAACGACGAAAATTTGTTTAAGACTGTTCGCTCGTACTTGCACGCGTGTCTTGCATTCTGTATACCCCAACCCTCGATACCCATACACTTCGTCTTGGATCGCACCCCCTTTCGGGGGGAATCTCTTCCTTGCTGGTCACGAACTGAAGTGCGAGGAACACTCGAACGAGAGCGCCGCTGCTGAATTCGGGGGCCTCTCTGGCCAAGGGCTCTCGGAATAGATATGGAAATATAGCGGAAACCCTTGTTGCCGTGTCTAGTCCTCCACCAACTTGCCTGAATTACAAGAAAATCTCGAGCGACAGCGCCACTCTTGAGTTCGTGGGACTCTCTGGCCAGGGCCTTTGAGAATACATCTTCAGGAAGTATCGAACGAGATCCCTTGTCGTCGTAGTTGGGCCTCCACCAATTTGACAGAATCACAAAAGTATCGAGCGAGAGCGCCGTTCTTGAGTTCGGGGGCCTTCCTGGCCAGGGGTCCGGGAGTAAATCGTGAGGCAATATCGAACAGGAGCCCTTGTCGTCGTGGCTGGGCCTCCGCCAACTTGACTGACTTGCAAGGAAGTCTCGAGATAGAGCGCCGTTCCTGAGTTCGGGGGCCTCTCTGGTCAGAGTGTCCCGAAGTAGATATGAGGAACTATCGAACGGGAGCCGTTGTCGTTGTAGCCAAGCCTCCGAGGGCAAACATTTACACTCAAGCCCGCGCTCGAGCGCGAGCCCCGTTTTCCGAAGAATTGCAGCCAGCGTCAGGCGATAGCGCGCCGAACAGTCTCCACAAATCAACAATAATTACTATCTAGAAATGTATACTCAACGACGACGACGAAGACCGCGACCGCGACCGCGACGACGACGACGACAACAACGACAACGACGACGACGACGACAACGACGACGGCGGCGACGGCGACGATGACGGCGGCGATGGCGACTGCGGCGACGACGATGACGACGACGACGCAAACGACGACCGACGACGGCGGCGGCGACAACGACGACGACGAAAGTCGAAGACGACGACAACCACAACGACGACGACAACGACGACGGCGACGAAAGTCGAAGACGATGACGACCACCACGACGACGACGACGACGACGACGGCAACGACGACGACGGCGACGACGACGACGACGACGACGACGGCGACGACGACGACAACGACGACGGCCGCGACGATGCGACGACGACGACGGAGACGAAGACGGCGACGACGACGGCGACGGCGACGGCGACCGCGACAACGTCGAGGAAAGTCGAAGACCACGACGGCGAAGACGGCGACGACGCCGACGACGGACACGGAGACAACGACGGCGACGACGACGGCGACGGCGACGGCGCGACGGCGTCCGCGAAAACGACGACGACGACGACGGCGACGACGACGAACGTCGAAGACGACCACGACGAAAACGACGACGACGACGACGATGACGACGACGACGACGACGACGGGGACGACGACACCGGTGGCTATGGCGACGGCGAAGGCGACGACGGACGACGACGAAAGTCGAAGACGACGACAACCACAACGACGACGACAACGACGGCAACGACGACAACGACGACGACGACGGCGACGACAACGACGACGACGACGGCGACGACGAAGGAGGCGACGGCGACGGCGGCGGCAACGGCGACGACGACGACGGCGCAAACGACGACGACGACGGCGGCGACGACGACGACGACGGCGACAGCGATAACGACGACGACGACGACCGCGACGACGACGACGACGACGGCGGCGACGACGACGAAAGTCGAAGACGACGACGGCGACGACGACAACGACGTAGACGAAGACAGCGAAGACGACGACGGCCGCGGCGACGACGACGGCGGCAACGACGACCACAACAACTACGACGGCGACAACGAGGACGACGATGACGACGACAAACGTCCGAGATGACGACGACGACGTTGACGGCGGTGACGACGACGACGGCGGCGGCGACGGCGACGGCGACAACGACGGCGACGGCGACAACGACGACTACGCAAGCCGGAGACGACGACGACGACGACGGCGACGACGACGGCGACGACGACAACGGCGACGAAGAGGGCGACGGCGACGAGGACGGCGACGACGACGACGACAACCCAAACGACGACGGCGACGACGGCGGCGGCGACGACGACGACGGCGATGGCGACGACGACGACGCAAACGACGACGGCGACGGCGGCAGCGACAACGACGACGAAAGTCGAAGACGACGACGGCGACGGCAACGACGACGACGACGACGGAGACCACGACGGCGGCGCCGACGACGACGGCAACGACGACGGCGACGGCGACGACGACGACGACCGCGACGACCACCACGACGACGAAAGCCGAAGACGACGACGACGGCAAACGTCGACGACGACGGTGACGACGACAATGGCGGCGACGGCGACGGCGGCGACAACGGCGACGACGACGACGAAAGTCGAGGACGACGGCGGCGACAACGACGTCGACGACGGCAACGACGACAACGAAGGCGACGACGACGACGACGACGACGGCGACGATGGCGACGATGGCGACGACGGCGACGACGGAAGCCAAAGACGACGACGGCGACGAAGACGGCGACGATAACGACGACGACGACGACGAAGACGAAAACGACGACGACGGCGACGGCGATGGCGGCGACGGCGACGACGACAGCGACGACGACGACAACGACGACGACGGCGACCATGACGAAAGCCGAAGACGACCACGACGATGACGACAACGACGACGACGACGACGACGACGACGACGACGACAACGACGACGACGACGACGGCCGCCACGACGACGGCGGCGACGACGACGGCGGCGACGACCGCGACGACGACGACGACGACGATGACGGCGACCACGACGACGACGGCGGAGACGACGGCGGCCACGACTTGAGCAGGGACCGAACGTTCCGGCATTCCTATAAGCCTTTTCTGAGAACCCAAAAATCTTCGAAGAACAAGAAATGTTCTTAGAACATAAACCCGATGCGTTAAAACAAGACAGACTCAGCCAGAAATGTTCTCAGAACATCTCTTGCAGACCACAAACTGTTCGTAGAACATTCCTTGGTGGGCCTATAGGCGAGCCAGAACGCTTCACTACTGCTTGAACGACGAGGACGGCGACGGCGACGGCGCCGGAGACGACGACCGCGACAACGACGAGAACGGCGGCGACGACGACGACGACGACGACGGCGTCGTCGACGGCGACAACGACGACGACGACGACGGCGGCGGCGTCGGCAACGGCGCCGGCGACGACGACTGCGACGACGACGACGACGACGACGACGACGGCCGCGACGAGGGCGAAAACGAAGACGACGAAAGTCGAAGACGACGACGGCGACGACGACGACGACGGTGACGGTAACGACAACGATGGCGGCGACGACGGCGGCGGCGGCGGCGACGGTGACGACAACGACCACGACGACGACGATGACGACGAAAGTCAAAACGATGACGACGACGATGACGACCGCGACGACGACGACAACGACGACGACGACGGCGGCGATGGCGGCGACGGCGACGACGACGGCGGCGACGACCACGACGGCGACGGCGACCACGACGGCACCGGCGACGGCGACGAAAGTCATCGACGACGACGGCGCTGATGACGACGACGACGACGACGACGACGACGACGACGACGACGACGACGACGACGGCTGCGGCAACGGCGACGGCGACGGCGACGGCGACGGCGACGGCAACGGCAACGACGACCACGACGACGACGACGAAAGTCAAATACGACGGCGACGACGACGACGACGACGACGACGACGACGACGACGGCGAGGACGGCGGAGACGACGACGACGGCCGCGACGACGACGGCTGCGGCAACGGCGACGGCGACGGCGACGGCGACGGCGACGGCAACGGCAACGACGACCACGACGACGACAACGAAAGTCACATACGACGGCGACGACCACGACGACGGCTGCGACGACGACGGCTGCGGCAACGGCGACGACGACGACGACGACGACGACGACGACGGCGAGGACGGCGGAGACGACGACGACGGCCGCGACGACGACGGCGACGGCGACGACGACCGCGACGACGGCGACGACAACGACGACGACGACCACGACGACGACGAAAGTCAAAGACGACGACGGCGACGACAACGACGACGACGACGAGCACGACGATGACGACGACGATGACGACGCCGACGAAGGCGGCGACGACGATGACGACGACGGCGACGGCAACGGCCACGACGACCGCGACAACGACGAGGACGGCGACGACGACGACGACGGCGTCGTCGACGTCGACAGCCACGACGAAGACGACGACGACAGCCATGGCGACGGCTACGGCGACGGCGACGACGACCGCGACGATGACGACGACGACGACGGCCGCGACGACGGCGACCACGAAGACGACGGACGTCGAAGACGACGACGACAACGACGAAGACGACGACGACGACGATGACGACCGCGACGACGACGACGATGGTGACGACGACGACGGCGGCGACGACGGCGACGTCGACGACGGCGGTGGCGACCACGACGGCGACGACGACCGCGACGGCGACGATGACGACGAAAGTCACCGACGACGACGGCGACGACAACGACGCCGACGACGACGACGACGACGGCTGTGGCAACGGCGACAGCGACGGCGACGGCGACGGCAACGACGTCGAAAGTCGAAAACGACGGAGACGACGACGACGACGACGACGACGACGACGACGGCGACGACGGCGGCGACGACGACGCCGACGGCTGTGACGGCGACGGCGACGGCGACGACGACCACGACGACGACGACAACAACGACGACGAAATTCAAAGACGGCAACGACGACGACAACGACGACGACGGCGATGACGACGACGACGATGACGACGACCACAACGACGACGACGACAATGACGACGACGACGACGACGACGACGACGACGACGTCGGCGACGGCAACGACGGCGACGGCAACGACGGCGGCGACGGCGACGGCAACGACGACGACGACGAAAATCAAAGACGAAGACGACGACGATGACGAAGACGACGACGACGACAACGACGGCCGCAACGACGACAACGAAAGTCAAAAACGACGGCGACGGCGACGACGACGACGACGACGAAAGCCGAAGACGACGACGACGACGACGACGACAACGGCGACGACGACGACGACAACGACGATGATGACGTCGACGTCGACGGCGACGACGACGACCACGGCGACGACGGCGACGACGACGACGACGACGGTGACGACGGAATGGGCGACGGCGACGGCATCGGCGGATGCATGGGGGACGGCGACTGCGACGGCGACCGACAGCGACTGCGACTGCGACGGCGACGGCGACAGCGACGGCGACGGCGACGGAGACGGCGACGGCGCCGGAGACGGCGGCGGCGGCATCGACGGCGACTGCGACGGCGACGGCGACGACGACGACGAAAACGACGACGACAACGACGACGACGGCGACGACAACAACAGCGATGACGACGACGACGACGACGACGACGACGACGACGACGGCAATGGCGTTGACGAGAAACGAAAACGACGGCGACGGCGGCGATAACGGCGCAAACGACGACGACGACGACGGCGACGGCGACAGCGACGACGACGACGACGACGACGACGACGACGACGCCGCCGCTGGCAACAGTCGGCGAGGGCGACGACGGCGGCGGCGGCGACGGCGACGCCGACAGCGACAGCGACGGCGGCGACGACGACGACGGCGGCGGCAACGGCGGCGGCGGCGGCAACAACGACGGCGACGGTGACGACGACGACGGCGACGACGACGACGACGAGAAGCCGAAGACGACGATGACGGCGACGACTCCGACGACGCTGACGACGGCGGCGACGGCCGGCGGCGACGACGACGACGACGACGACGACGACGACGACGACGACGACGACGACGACGACGACGACGACGACGACGGCGGCGGCGGCGGCGGCGACGGCGACGGCGTGGGCGATGGCGACGACGACGACATTGGCGACGGCGTGGGCGACGGCGACCGCGAAGGCGACTGCAACGGCGACGGCGACGACGACGAGGACGACGGCGACGGCGGCGGCGACGACGATGACGACGAAGTCGACGGCGGCGGTGGCGGCGACGACAATGACGACGAGAAAACGAAAATGACGGCGACGACGACGACGACGACGACGACGACGAGGTTTGGCCAGAAGGCACAATGCACCCTCTCCTCGTCTCCAACCTGCCCTCTCTCCCCTCCTCCCTGCCCGTGAGGGGGCGAAGCACCAATTCTGATTTTCCTTCGGCCCAAACCGACCTATGGCGATGTTCCAGCGCTGGATGATGAGCAGGTCAAAGCCAGAGGCCACGGCCTGCACGGCAGACGTGAGCACGAAAGCACGCCGGAAGGACCAGTGCTGCATGTACCGGAAGAGCACTGCTCCGAGGGCAGCTCCAGCGCAGCCCACCAAGTTGGAGACCGCGAGGTAGTAGCTGTAGCTGAAGTGAGGCGCGTCTTCGATGCAGGAGGCCGTTCCGGTGTAGAAATCCGCCACTGCGCTTGCGCGCGGTTGGCGTGCCGCGCCCGTGATTTTTGCTCTTAGCTTCGCTTCCTGCGCCACTGACAGCAAGTAGGCCCCCGGCAGCGAGCCCATCCCGCGTCCATGTCTTGTACCAGGTTCGGGGGCCTGCTGCTCCCCGAACCGGATCACAGTGTCGGGTAGAAGGCTCTGTGGCTCCTCCCTCTTCCCTCCTCCCTCCTTCCTTGTCCCCCCTCCCTCCTCCCTCTGCCCTCCTCCCTCCCTCTTGTTTCTCCCTCCCTCTTCCATCTGCCCCGTTCGGGCCCCTCCCCCGCCATGCGCCCGCCCGAGCGCCCGTGGCGGAATTCGCGCCGCGGCGCGATTGGATAAGCCAGCGGGCCAGAGAGGTCCAGGTACGCGACAGAGATCAGAAACATGTAGAAGTTGCTCTTTGCCAGGGTCCGCGGCAGGGCGCGGAACGAGTATGCAACGAGGACTCCAGAGGTGACCACAGCGACAACGGCCCTGAGATTTGATGGGAGAACCGGCGGCTCAATGAGGGGGGCAACGCGGAGAAGACACCTTGTACACCACCACCGTGGCTGGCCAGGACAATTGGCCTTGGCCACTTTGGCCGATTTACCCCTCCAGGTGGAGATACATGCTGTTTCCTGCGAATCTCGCGTGACCTGTCCCCACTTGGGGTGGGTGGGCTGGGGGGGCTCAAACACCATGGCCCATGCCAACGGGGATGGGGATCATCAGGTGAGACGCCGCCGACTGGGCGAGCCCGTGTCAAGCGGCATTCGAGCGTGGTGCAATGGGGGACAATGAACGAGAGGGAGAAGAAAGGTGCACCCTTCGTGCACCTTCCAGGCTCTAGTGATCTCCTTCAGGGCTCATTTCGGGTTCCTGTCCTGCAGTCGTCGATCCCCCCCATTTCTCGCCCCCCTTTACGAAACGCCCAAGAAGGGCCCCAGAGCCCCAAAGCGGCGAAAAATCTTAGGACCTGTTCCCGTGAGGACGCGTTTGCTTCAGCGCGGACCCGAGGAGCAGGAGCGAGAGCAGGAGGAGCAGGGGTGTGATCTGTGCATCCATCGAGCTCGAGAGAACAGTGATACACATGACACAAGGAGGAAGTGGAGAGGAGGAGGAGGAGGAGGAGGAGGAGGAGGAGGAGGAGGAGGAGGAGAAAGAGGAGGGGAGGGGATAAGGACGAAGAAGGAGGGAGGAGGGAGGAGGAGGCGGAATGAGGGCGAAGGAGGACGGAGGAGGGAGGAAGGAGGAGGGCGGAGGGATGTTTCTGTTCAACGGGGCCCCGATATGACGCCATCAGAAAGGGGCGAGGGAAAGACAGTGGGACCGTGGGACAATGGGACAGTGGTACAGTCGGGACAGCGGTGGGGAAAGCGGGCACAGTGGGACAGCGGTGGGGACAGTGGTGGGGAAAATGGGACAGCAGTGGGGACAGTGGAGACAGTGGGACAGTGGTGGGGGCAGTGGGGACATTGGGACACTGGTGGGGACAGTGGGGACAATGGGACAGTGGTGAGGACGGCGGTGGTGGGGACAGTGGTGAGGGCGGTGTTGGGGACGGTGGTGGGGACCGGGGAGTCGTTTGCCGGCGGCGAAGAAGTGAGGGGGGCAGGAGGGGTTCGAACCCGTAGTGAACCGCCCCGGTTTTCGGGAGGATGGGAGGGGTTGGAGGGAAGTTTTGCCGAGGGAGGGGGGGTGAGGGGTTCGAAAAGAGGGGGGAGAGGGGGATTTTCGGGGGGGGGGCCCCGGTTCCAGGGGGAGAGGGAGGGGATGCAAAGCGGCAGTGGATCACGCTCTCTTTGATGATGATGATGATGATGATGATGATGATGATGATGATGATGATGATGATGATGATGATGATGATGATGATGATGATGATGACGATGGTGATGATGATGATGATGATGATGATGATGACGATGATGCCGATGATGATCATGATGATGATGGTGATGATGGTGGTGGTGATGATCATGATGCTGATGATGATGGTGGTGATTGTGATGATATAGATGATGATAATGATGATGACGGTGATGCTCATGACGACGACTGTGTTGATGATGACGATGATGATGACAGTTCGCCGGCCCAACGGGCCAGGGCGTGCTAAGATCACCGGTAACTGGTTAACAATATTAACAGTATTTCTAGTTCGCGCGCGCGGGGCGGCCCCTGGGGGTCCCCCGGCGAAAAGTACCCCGACCAACGCCCGGTCGCCGCCCGGTCGCCGCCCGACCGCCGCCCGACCAAGTCTACTCAGAGATGGTTTTCCTTCTGGGTGCGGCCTCTCAGGCTCCCCAGAGCGCGCTCAGAGTGCCCCAAGAGGCCCCCAAGACTGCCCAAGAGGCCCCCGAGACGCCCAAAGAGCGCTCGAAGACGCCGAAGATGACCCCAAGACGGCCCAAAAGGCCCCCAAGACAGCCCAAGAGGCCTCCAAGACGCCCCAAGAGCCTTCCAAGAGGCCTCCGAAGAGAGCCCCAAGAGGCCAAAATCGTTGATTTTCATTGGTTTTTTCGATGTTTTTTGTGTTCTGGCTTTTTCGGCTTCCGGACGCTCCAAGACGGCCCAAGAGGCCCCCAAGACCGCTCCAAGACGGCCCACGAAGCTCCCAAGACGGCGCCGAAACGACCCAAGAGAGCCCTCAAGACGGCCCAAGTGCCGCCCAAGACGGACCAAGAGGCCCCAAGACGGGCCCAAGAGGGACTCAGGAGGGATACCGAGAACTCAAAAATGGAGCCCTCCGTCCCAGAAGGCGCCCAGGAGGTCCCAAAGAGGCCCCAAGAGGCCTCCAAGAGGCCCCAAGATGTCGCCAAGAGGCCCCAGGAGACTCCCAGGAGGCCCAAAAGAAGCCCCAGAAGGCTTCAAACATGTCTCCCAGGCGCCCCCGAACGGCCTCTCAACAGACCCCAAGAGGCCCCCCAAAGAAGCATCTTGACGACGACTCTATTTCGCCCCATCGAGAGACGACCCCCAGGGAACTGCTTCACCATCAAAACTCCCCACGCAACGCGTCCGAACGACACCCGCCCCCAAGAGCGCAACATGGGCAACGAACACACAGACAAAAACCAGCGATGCCATATCACGGGCCGGCGGAATGAGCGAAGCGATTCAATAAGAGATGACGATGACGATGATGATGGTGGTGACGGTGGTAATGATGAAGAAGATGCTTATGATTATGGTATTACAAGATGATGATGGTTATGATGATCATGATGAAGATGGTGAAGGTGGTGGTGATGTTGACGATTATGATTATGCTGACTGATATTATCATCATGGTGATGATGCTTATGATTATGATGATGATGGTGATGATGGTGATGGTGATGATGACGATGATGATGATGATGATGATGATGATGATGGAGGGTGGAGGGAGGAGGAGGAGGAAAACAGAGGATGATGATGGTTATGATTATGCTGACTGATATTATCATCATCAAGATGATGATGCCTGTGCTTATAATGATGATGATGATGATGATGATGATGATGATGATGATGATGATGACGATGACGATGATGATGATGATGATGATGATGATGATGATGATGATCTTTGATGATAGAGGGAGGAGGAGGAGGAGGAGGAGGAGGAGGAGGAGGAGGAGGAGGAGGACGGAGGGAGGTAAGTAGGAGCGAGGAAGAGCTGGGCCCAACTCCGAGCCGCCGGGAGGAACGCGGCGCTCAGCGCGATAGCCAGGCCGCCGGCCGCCATGCCCAGGGCCAGCCGGAACAGCCGCGGCTCCGAGGCCGCCTTCAGCCGCAGCGAGGCCCAGCTTCTCGCGGGCTCCTCCAGGGAGGAGGGCGAGGAGGACGGCGAGGAGGACGAGGGCGACGACGACGGGGACGACGAGGGAGACGGCGAAGAGGACGGCGAGGAGGAGGAGGAGGACGGGGTCGCCGCTCTCAAGGCGAGGAGGACGAGGGGGAGACCGACGAGGACGACGGCGGAGAGGAGGGCGAGGGCGACGACGAGGGAAGAGGAGGACAGCGAGGAGGGGGAGGAGGAAGGAGGACGAGAATACCGAGCTCGACCTGACATCCTCGCACTGCGACAAGATTCACGACGGCAACTTCGGTCCTTCTCGGCTTCCGGGGGCCCTCGCCGGGCCCTGGGGCCGTCAAGAGGTGCGGGGCCCAGCTTCTCGCGGACTCCTCCAGGAAGAGGGGGGGATAGAGGACAGGAGACCGGGGAAGAGGGGCGGGTGTAGAGGACAGGGAGGGGACGAGGCTCTGGCCCCCTCTGCCCCTCAGAGAATGAGGATGTGTACCGATGCCGCGGCCTCGACCTCGTCGCCACGGCCAAGTTCGCCTCGAAATCCTAGGCAGAACGCACCACTGGTGCACTGGATGGGCGGCGCGGGGGGAGGGTCAAGGGGGCGGGCCTGCTGAGAAGGCTCTCTGAAAGGCTCTTTGGAAGGCCTTTTGAACCTTCCCCGAGCCTTTTGAAAGGTTCCTGGGCTTCTCAGAAGCATCCGGCATGCTGAGAGGCGTGCTGAGCCCTCTCCGAGACCCAGCCGCTTTCTGAGAAGTCCTGTCCCCTATCACTTCCCCCTCGACGCGCCGCCGAAAGGGGGAAGGGGGGATCTGGCTCCACGGCGGTTCGGCAAAAACCTTCAACACCGACGAGCTGCGCAAGAACTTTCAGCAACATGAAGCTGAACTGTTGCGAACGCGCCGAAAGTCCACAACGGAGAGGGGTGGATATCACGAGCCGCGCCAGGTCTGACGGCGCCCTGAGCAAGCCCGGGTAGTGAAAGGTGGAGGAGCTTGTGGGAGGGAGGGAAGAAGGGTGCGACGACGGCGCGCCGAGTGGGGCAGTGAGACAAGGCGGAGCTTCTCAAAGACAACGGGGCTTCTCGGAGGCCCTCTGGCCTTCCGAGAAGCAAGCCGCGGCATCCGAAGAAGGCTCAGAGAGCTCTCAGGGAAAGGGGGGGGGGATGGCAGGAGGGGGAGGAGGGAGGAAGAGAGGGAGGCTGGATGGATGAGGGAGGAAGAGAGGAGGAAGAAGAGAGGGAGGGAGGAAGAGAGGGAGGGAGGAAGAGAGGGAGGATGGAGGAGGGAGGGAGGAAGAGAGGGAGAAAGAGAGGGGGAGGAGGGAGGAAGAGAAGGAGGAGGGAGGAGGGAGGGAGGGGAGAGGATCCCGGTCCACGGCCGATCTGCAGAGGTACCCCCAAGCCTGCGGAGGGAGCGGTCTGCTGTCCTGGGACCCCAGCGCAGCCCTGCGCAGCCCCTTAAGAGCGGCGTCAGGCGGCGCGCTGGGGGGCCTCACTGCCCCGCGCGCCCTCCCGAGATAAATTCGCCGCGGGGCACCGCGCTAGACAGCGGTTGACCGCGACCAGGGAGGGCGCTGGAAGTAGCCAGCCCAACGCACCGAGTTGACCGGGCAAGGGCGCCGGGCACAGCCGGGGACGGGCGCACAGTGGACAGTGGACGTGGGTTCCGTGGAAGTGTCCCTCATTAGGCGGTCCTCCTGGCCAGTGCCCAGATATTGGGCGATCTGTTTCTTCATGCCAGGTGTCTCTGCACAGGCTCCAGCCTCTGCGGCCCACTTCTGGGCTGGGGCGAAGCACTGGCCCAAGGTCGGGGCCTCGGGGACCGCGCAGATCACATCGTCGCATGTGCGGGGCTGTCCCTGCTGAAGGGTGCGTGAAGCGCGCAACCTCCAGAAGCGGCTACAGCAACTTCGAACCAGCTTGACTTGAGAGAGAATCTTGACAGCATGATGCAATAAAGAGGAAAAATGGAGGCTGAAGAAGATGAGCAAGGAGGAGACACTATGAAAACGGATGCACATTAAGCGATGCTCGTGCACGTGGAAGAACACGGTGTGAACACGGCTCTAAAACGGGCACGCTGCCTGGCCAGGCTTGCGCCAAACAGCGTCGGGCCCAAAGGCGCAAAGCGGGCGCTTGAGCATGTCACGCGCCCGCGTCCGCCGGGAGCAGCAGGAGACATACCCTTCAAGTGTGGTGCTCAAGCGAGTCTGCCTTTGCCCCGTCGGTGACAGCGCGCAAGCCGTGCCGCAGCCAACGAGGCGTCATAATCAGCTGCAATGGGGGCAGGGTTTGCCTGTTTAGGCACACCGTGGGTTTCGGGCTTCACTCTACCTCCGAAGGCACCGTCATGTGATGTCGTTGTCGTTGTCGTCGGTCGCCCTGCCCCCTCGACGTCGCCTGTCGCCGCCCGCACACGACATCCGACGATGCGATTTTTTCAATCCGCGGCCCCAGAGGCCCCAAGCTCTTTCGCCTTTGCACCCCGGATCCATGAACGATGGCCAAGGGGGGGCCCAATGACGGGCCCCAGAGGAGGCCGCAACCCAACGCCAGGATGGAACGAAGCCAGACCTCCTCGCCGAAACGCAGGGCCTGCTGTCTGCCGCCTGCCGGCCGCTCGCCGTCTGCCGCCACCGTCGTGGCCGGCGGCCCGCGCGGGGTCGAGGGGGAACGTTGGCTCGAAGGGAGGGAGCGTCGAGCTGGAATCGGCGATGCGTCGCCGATGGACCGGCGATAGGCCCCCGATAGCGCATGCCCACGCCCACACTCGTGGGCGGGGTGGCCTGTCGGGCCCCCGTCGGCGATGAGTGGGCGATCGGGGTCGACGCATCCCCCCTGGGGCTGTCCCCCCCTTTGACGTTGCCCCTGGGGGGTCTTCTCCTTCCTGCTCCCTGCCCCTGCCCCCTCCTCCCCCTCCTCCTGCCCCCCACTCACATAGGCAGGGGCGGGCCTCTGATTCCCGGTCGTTCTTTCCACATACGAGATGCTAACTGCTGCTTCCCCCCGCGGAGGGTGAGACGCTCTGGACTCTTATAATTAGAAACAATAACATATTAATAATAAGAATAACAATGATATGAATCATGATAATAACAATAGTAATACATGAATGCATATATAAATAAATACATACATTATAACAACAATAATAATGATAATAATGACAATAATAGTAATCATGATACTGATAATAATGATAATAATAATAATAATGATGATAATAATGATAATAATAATGATAATAATAATACGAATAATAGTAATAATAATTATAATAATTATAATAGTAACAATCATACTGGTACTAAGTAAATGAATAAATAAATAAATTACTTTTTTATATAATAATAACATAGACCACCAAAAAAACACCCCAAACAACAAAAAAAAAAAAAAAATGGGCAACATAAGTTCGCACAGCGCGCCCTGCGATGCGCGACGCGCGGTTATCTTCGCGCCCTCGCGCCGCCGCCCTGGAAAAAGGCGCCTCTCCAACCCCAGCCGCGGTGCGCGAAGCGCGGTTCTCTTCGCGCCCCTGTTTAGACGCGGGCAATGGGTTCGGAAAAACTGGGCACGATGCCCAACGGAACATGTCGTCCCAAACCGCCAGCGCCCGCGGTTGGGCAGACGACCTCTTGCCTCCAATGGACAACGCCCGCAGCAACGGCGACAACGAATCCTGCTGAAAACGGATACGTACGGACTGATGTCTGTCTCTGTGCCCGTTCCTTCTGTGCCCCTTCCGATCTTGCCGAGCCACCGCCAGGGCGGCGGCAAGCGCGGGATCTCCCCCAGCAGGTCGCCCGCCAGGTGCACCGCGCCGACGCGACAACGAGCGGCGGCGACGAGGCACGGCAACGAGCGACGGCGACGCGCGACGGCGGCGACGAGCGACGGCGACGACCACGCCGACGACCACGCCGCCGACGACGAAGACGGCGGCGGCGGCGACGACGGCGACGACGGCGACGGCAACGAGCGACGGCGACGAGCGACGGCGACGAGCGACGGCGACGAGCGACGGCGCCGACGACCGCGCCGACGACCACGCCGACGACAGGCGCCCGGCCGGCGGCCAGCGCGGGGTCTCCTCCGGCAGGTCGCCCCGCCAGGTGCGCCACGCCGCCAGCAGCGCCAGCGGCAGGGACGCGGCCAGCAGCGGGCGAGGGCCGCCGGCCAGGCGGCCCCCGGGTCCGGCCAGGCACCGCTCTTGGCCGTCGCTCACCGCCGTCGCTCGTCGTCGTCGTCGTCGCCGTCGCCGAGGTCGTCGTCGCCGTCGTCGCTCGTCGCCGTCGTCGCGTCGTCGTCGTCGCTGTCGTCACCTCGTCGCTCGTCGTCGTCGTCGTCGCCGTCGCTGGCCAGGCGGCCCCCGAGTCCGGCCAGGCTGGCCCTCTTGGCCGTCGCTCACCGCCGTCGCTCGTCGTCGTCGTCGTCGCCGTCGTCGTCGTCGTCGTCGCCGTCGTCGTCGTCGTCGTCGTCGTCGTCGTCGTCGTCGTCGTCGTCGTCGTCGTCGTCGTCGTCGTCGTCGTCGTCGTCGTCGTCGTCGTCGTCGTCGTCGTCGTCGTCGTCGTCGTCGCTCGTCGCGCGTCGTCGTCGCCGGTCGCGCGTCGTCGTCGTCGCCGTCGTCACCGCCGTCGTCGCTCGTCGTCGTCGTCGTGTCGTCGTCGCCGCCGCCGTCGCCGCCGCAGCCGTCATCGTCGTCGTCGCCGCGGTCGCTCGTCGCTCGTCGCTCCTCGTCGTTGTCGTCGCCGCCACCGTGGCTCGTCGTCGTCGCCGCTCGTCGCTCGTCGTCGTCGTCGTCGTCGTGGTCGTCGTCGCCGTCGTCGTCGAGGTCGTCGTCGCCGCCGCTCGTCGCTCGTCGTCGTCGACGCCGTCGCTCGTCGTTGTCGTCGTAGACAATCGTCGCTCACCGCCGGCGTTCGTCGCTCGTCGCCGTCGTCGTCGTCGCTCACCTCTCGTCGTCGCTCGTCTTCGTTGTCGTCGTCGTCGTCGCACGTCGCCCGTCGTCGTCGTCGTCGACGTCGCCGCCGTCGCTCGTCGCCGTCGTCGTCGTTGCTTACCACCGTCCCTCGTCGCGTGTTGTCGTCGTCGTCGCCGCCGTCGTCGCCGCGGCCGTTGTCGTCGTCGCCGTCGTCGTCGTCGTTGCCGTCACTCGTCGCTCGTCGTCGTCGACGTCGTCGTCGTCTTCGTCGCCGCCGTCCCTCGTCGTCGTCGTCGTCAACGTCGCCGCCGTCGCCACCGCGGCCGTCGTCGTCGTCATCGTCGGCGTCGTCGTCGCCGTCGGTGTCGACGTCGTCGTCGTCGCTCGTAGTCGTCGCCGTCGTCGTCGTCGTCGTCGCCGTCCCTCCTCGCTCGTCGTCGTCATCGTCGATGCCGCCTGCGCTCGTCGCCGTCGCCGTCGCTCACAACATTTGCTCGTCGCTCGTCGTCGTCGTCGTCGTCGTCGCAACCGTCGCAGTCGCCGTCGTCGCCGTCATCGTCGTCGCTCGTCGTCGTCGGCGTCGGCGTCGCTCACCACTCGTCGTCGTTGTCGTCGTCGCCGCCGTCGCCGTCGCAACCGCCGTCGTCGTCGTCGTCGTCATTGTCGTCGTCGTCGGCGCTGCCGTCGCGCATCGCCCGTCGTCGTCTCCGCCGCCGCCGTCGTCGCCGTCGCCGTCGCCGTCGTCGTCGTCGCCGCCGTCGCCGTCGCCGTCGTCGTCGTCGCCGTCGTCGTCGTCGTTATCGGCGTCGTTGTCGTCGTCGTCGCCGCCGTCGCCGTCGTCGTCGTCGTCGTCGTCGTCGCGGCCGTCGTCGCCGTCGCCGTTCTCGTCGCCGCCGTCGTCGTCGTCGTCGCCGCTGTCGACGTGGTCGTCGTCGTCGTCGCCGACGCTGTCGTCGTCGTCGCCGTCGTCGTCGTCGTCGTCGTCGTCGCCGTCGCCGCCGCGTTTGTCGTCGTCGCCGTCGTCGTCGTGGTCGTCGTCGTCGTCGTAGTCAGCGTGGTCGTCGTCGTCGTCAACGTCGCCGCCGTCGCAATCGTCGTCGTCGTCGTCGTCGTCGTCGTCGTCGTCGTCGCCGTCGCCGTCGCCGTCGTCGTCAGCGTGGTCGCCGTCGTCGCCGCCGTCGCCGTCGTTGCCGTCGTCGTCGTCGTCGTCGCCGCCGCCGTCGCCGTCGTCGTCAGCGTGGTCGCCGTCGTCGTCGCCGTCGCCGTCGTCGCCGTCGTCGTCGTCGTCGGCGTCGTCGGCGTCGCCGTCGCCGTTGTCGTCGTCGTCGTGGTCTCCATTGTCGGCGTGGTCGTCGTCGCTGTCGTCGTCGTTGTCGTCGTCGTCGCCGACGCCGTCGCCGTCGTCGTCGTCGTGGACGTCGACGTCGTCGTCGTTCTCGTCGTCGCCGCCGCCAACGCCGTCGCCGTCGTCGCCCGTGTCGGCGTTGTCGTAGTCGTCGTCGCCGTCGGCGCCGTCGTCGTCGTCGTCGTCGTCGTCGTCGTCGCCGTCATCGTCGTCGTCCCGTCGTCCTCGTCGTCCTCGTCGTCGCCGCCGTCGCCGTCGTCGTCGACGTCGTCGACGACGTCGTCGCCGCCGCCGCCGTCGTCGTCGCCGTCATCGTCGTCGTCGCCGACGTCGTATTCATCGTCGTCGTCGCCGTCGCTCGTCGCCCGTCGTCGTCGTCGTCGATGCCGCCGTCGCTCGTCGCCGTCGCCGTCGTCGTCGCTCACAGCATTCGCTCGTCGCTCGTCGTCGTCCTCGTCGTCGCCGCCGTCGCCGTCGTTGTCGTCGCCGTCGCCATCGTCGCTTGTCGTCGTCGTCGTCGTCGCTCACCGCTCGTCGTCGTCGTCGTCGCTCGTCGCTCGTCGCTCGTCGCTCGTCGTCGTCTTCGTCGTCGTCGCCGTCGCCGTCGCCGTCGTCGTCGTCGTCGGCGTGGTCGTCGTCGTCGTCGTCGCCACCGTCCGTCGTGGTTGCCGCCGTCGCCGTCGTCGTCGTCGTCGCCGTCGCCGCCGTCGCCGTCGTCGTCGCCGCCGCAACCGTTGCCGTCGTCGTCATCGTCATCGTCGTCGCCGTTTCCGCCGCCGCTGTCGTCGTCCTCGTCGTCGCCGTCGCCGCCGTCGCCATCGTCGTCGTCGTCGTCGTCGTTGTCGGCGTGGTCGTCGTCATCGTCGCAGCCGCCG